TGTGTGTGTGTGTGTGTGTGTGTGTGTGTGTGTGTGTGTGTGTGTGTGTGTGTGTGTGTGTGTGTGTGTCTTTTGACAGAGCCACAGCATTCCTGGAGACTCTGGAGATGTCGCCAGAGACTGAAGCCATGTGGAAGACGCTCAGCAAGCTGGCTCTGGAGGGTCAGCAGCTGCACATCGCAGAAAGGTCAGCACTCACAGACACACATACTCACAGACACACACACACACACACACAGGCAGACACACAGACACACACACACACACACACACACACACACACACACACACACACACACACACACACACACACACACAACCTTGCAAGCTAATGTCCGTGTCTCTGAGTTAATTACATTCTTTATCAGTCTTCATTGTAAGTAGGACTTATCTTTGTGACCGAAGAGAAAGGAAACAACAAGGGCACCTTGGTTACCTGGAATGGAAACACACACACACACACACACACACACACACACACACACACACACACACACACACACACACACACACACACACACACACACACACACACACGCACTGTGTCCCTGCCTGACCTCCCTCTCTAACTTCATTAATCATCAAAGACATTTTTTTGAATAATAAGCATTTTCTCTCTCTTTCTCCCCCCCCCCTTCCCCTCCATCTTTATTTCTCTCTGTTTCGGGAAACTTTTCAAATTTGAATTCCCCGTCATTAATAATGCATATGCTGTTCGTTAGGCCTCGGCTTGATTTGCATAAATCATGAAATCGGGGGAAGAAACGGTTTTGTCTGCGCTGGTTAATGTTAATGAGGGAGAGAAGTGAGGAAGAGTCAGACTTTTTTTTTAAAAACTTTTTTCTTTCTTTCATGACTTGTTCATTAATCTGATGCAAGTGTTCAGAGAGAGTTGGTAATAAAGTGTCCGGATGCTAAGACCAGCCCTTTCATTCATCAGCCCTCAGACTGCAGCGTTTCTAAAGGCTAATTAAACAAAAGCTCTCATTTGTTTCTGTGCATTAAGCACTTTTCTACAGCTCTGACCTCCTGGTACCTCCCTCTCCTTACTCACCGTTTCTCTCTGTGGTTCACTCTTGTTCTCTTTTTGTTTTTCCTCATGTTCTCTAGGTGTTTTGCTGCGTTGGGGGACGTCTCAACTGTGCGTTTCCTCCACCAAACTAACCAGATTGCCGACAAAGTTTCACATGAAATGGTGGGTTTCATATAAACACAGATATCTCCACACTGACTAGCTACGTATTAAAGCAAACAAAGAATTTTGACTGTGGGATTTAAATAGTAAGACAGCTAAATATCAGCTTTGGTGGAAAAATTCCTCCAATTTGTTGCTATACGCATGAAAAAATAGCAATAATCGAGTGGACACATTCCTGTAAGTAATGGAATAGCATTCAAAATCTAACTAAAGTTAAAAATAAAAGAGTATTTGCATTAGAAAATACTTAAAGTACCCACAACGTATTCACAATGCAGTGCTAGAATGCACTTAGTTACAATTCACCACTGTCATTTCAAATTGGTATTCAATTCAATGTTTGGATATTTTTAACACAGCAATATCTGATATATATAAATATATACTTTCATTTTAGGACTGATGCTTCTTATGGTGTAAGAGAGAAACTCAAACAAACAATTATCAGAAGGAATTACATTTTTTTAACACCTTTGTGTGTGTGTGTGTGTGTGTGTGTGTGTGTGTGTGTGTGTGTGTGTGTGTGTGTGTGTGTGTGTGTGTGTGTGTGTGTGTGTGTGTGTGTGTGTGTGTGTCAGGGTGGAGATGGAACAGAGTTTTTTCAAGTCCGAGCGCACGTCGCCATGCTGGATAAAAACTTCAAACTGGCTGAGATGCACTACATGGAGCAGGTTGGTGACACACTTTCTTGCAAGTCTATTATTTTAAGAACGTAAGTATTAGTATTGATTGATTTTACAACAAACCAAAAACTCCTCTCAAACCAATAGTGTTTTTCCTGCCGCATATCAATTGTTGAGATTCCAGATGCTTGTTTTATGTTCAATTATTATAGTGTAGCAATGAATCCTGTGCACACACCTGAATATAGATAACGAGCTATAGCATTGTATCAACATCACACCGGTACACGCTCTCCTTCCTTTAGGAGACGAGATTGTTATGAACTATTTGTGCAGCACTGAATCAAATCTTATCACCTCTTTTACTGGTTCTGCAGAACTCCATTGATGAAGCCATAGAGATGTACCAGGAGCTCCACATGTGGGACGACTGCATCGCTGTTGCTGAAGCCAAGGTAGCAACAAACACACTCAATGTAAACTAATACAAATAAAACGTAGCATTTTACCCCAGGGTGGTCTGTTGTTGCATACTGTGAGCTTTCTGTGGTGCACTCATTCGGACAGTGTAACCTTACATGTTTGTTAAGTTAACACATTCTTCTCAGTGCAGACTTTATCACTTAAAAAAGCCTTAGGGCCAAATGCATGCACGCTGGGTCTCCAGTAGGGCGGCACCATCAGAAAAACATTACTAATTGTGATTATCTGATATTGCAAATGAGATATGAGTCACGATGTTAGAGGGAATAATCTTGTTTGTCTTAAAAGATATATGAAAAGTAATCTGTACCAAACGAAAGATACGTATGGGTCATGCAGTATTAGGGCTGCACGATTTTGGGAAAAAATCGAATTGCGATTTTTC